TTGTCCCTTCTAATTGATACAATTCTGGTAATGAAGTGTTGGGACCTTGTTACAGAGAGCAAAATTATATATCCATTGAATGGGTATACGGACACTGTTAAAATCCTTTTGTTGGGGCCTAGAAAGGCTTATGAAAGTAAGTGAATATTGATTAGGTATTAAATTCAAATATTGGGCATATTTTGAGATTAGCTAAACTTTGGATAGGTCTTGCATGTGACTAAAATAGTAAAAGTATAAAAACACTAATATCTAAAATGGAAGGTATTATCTATTAAAATCAAGTTACTTGAAGATTATGGAGATTTCTATTTTAGTATTCATTGTGTACTTCTATTCTTTCTTGTTTTGTGTTCGAGTTCTAGTTTTCCAGTCCTTCACTCAGAAAGATGTTTGTACCTATGTTAGCACATGCACACTATGTCTTCTATGAAACTGCTTTAAATTACGGAAATCTATATGGATTAAGCTATTAATTTGCTTATATTCCTGTCTTATAAGCCCTGTAATTTAACATAGCTATAAACATTGTGAAAGCATTTGAAGCTATATTCAACCACACATAAAAACTATTACCAGAATTCAATGTCAGCAATTTATTATCTTCTATGTGACAGGTATTATGCTAAGGCCCAGAAGCCACAACAGTGAACAAGACAGAAAAAAGTCCCTGTATTTTCCTGGAATGTGTAATCCAATGAGGTAGATGATAAACAGTAAACCCATGTAATTCCTGACTGCAGGTGTGACAAGTGTATGAGTTTTGGCATGCCATGAGTGAACGATACAGAACCCGAGTCTGAAGACAGTGGTGGTCTGGGAAGGCTTTGTGGAGAAAGCAGCAGTAAAACAGCTCAGTTACAATTATGAATTGGCTAGGCAAATGGGAGGAGGATTTATAGAGAGTAAAGTGCTCCAAGCACATGAAGGAGGAGAAACTGGTGGAATAAGCCAGGACAAGAATAGACCTGAGGCAGGAGCCAGATCAAGCAGAACTATTTAGGCACTGCCCAGTCCTTGCACCAACCACCTCTGCCTCTTGCTCCTTCTGTTTCCCCCAACAATTCTGACCCTTGTTTGCCCAGGGATATCTCAGCAGCCACTTTACCATGAAGCTTTTGCTGACTTTCCATCACCAAAATGTCACCCTCTTTTATGCTCTGATAGCATTTTAAATATGTATTCTTTTTGACAACTTCGTATTATGTTTACTTATGCATGTGTCTACTGACTAGGTATTTAGTTCCTTACATAGTAGATGTTTTAGTTCCTTACACACTCCTTAGTCACAGTTGTATCCCACAAAGTAGTCCAGCATCTAACAGGAAAAAGGTCAAAAACTATGTTTCTTTACACAGAGAAAAACTACTTTTGAGTTGCTATTGTTTCTTTTTTTTTTTTTTTTTTCTTTTACTAGTGATCAGTATGTACAAAACTAGACATTTAAAAGTTGTCTTTGGGGTTCTTTTCACAAAGATTTGAATATACACCTGACCAAAGAAGATACACTGATGACAAATAAGCACTTAAAAATAGTGTTCATCAAGAGAATGAGAAGGCAAGACATAAACCAGAAAAAAAATATTTGTAAAAGACATCTGATAACCATGTTTTAGTCGTTTGGGCGATTTAACAAAAATACCATAAACTGGGAGGCTTATAAACAAACATTCCCCATACTTCTGGAGGCTGGGAAATCTAAGATCAAGGTGCCAGCATGGTCAGGTAAGGGCCTTCTGGGGTGGAAGAGGCTGGGGAGCTCTTTGGAGCCTCTTATAAGGCACTAATCTCAATCAGGAGGACTCCATCCTCATGACCTAATTGTCTCCAAAAAGCCCCACCTCTTAATATCATTAGGAATTAAGTTTTCAGTTTAATAGGAATTGGGGGGTGGGAGAGGAGGGGACAAACATTCAGACGATAGCAGACGCCCATAACAAAAAAACCCCTCAAAATTAAACAAGAATTCAAACCAATTTTAAAATGGGCGGAAGATCTTTACAGACACTTCAGTAAGTTATACAGATGGCAAGTAAGCTTATGAAAAAATAGTTCACACATGTTACCATAGAAATGCAAATTAAAAGATATCACTGCATACCTATTAGAAAGCAAAAACTCAAAACACTGACAATACCAAATGCTGGTGGGAACTGGAACAACAGGAGCTCTCTCATTCATTGCTGGTGGGAATGCAAATACGGTGGAGCCAATTTGAAAGTTTGGCTTTATTTTTTTCCAAAGCTAAACAAACTCTCACCATATAATCCAGCTATAATGATCCTTACTGTGTGTGTGTGTGTGTGTGTGTGTGTGTGTGAATGAGTTGAACTCATGTCCACACGATAACCTGCACACAGATGTTTACAGCAGCTGTATTCATAATTGCCAAATCTTGGAAGCAACCAAGATGGTCCCTTGAGTAGGTGAATGACTAAACTGTGGTACGTTCAGACCTATTATTAAGCAGTAAGAGATATAAGCTATCAAATCATAAAAAGACATTAAGGAGCTTCAAACACATGTCACTGAGAGAAAGAAGCCAATCTGAAAAGACTACATACTGTATGTATGATTCCAAGTATAGAACATTCTGGAAAAGGCAAAATTATGGAGACAGGAAAAAGATCAGGGTTTGAGAGAGGAAGGGACTGGATATATGTAGCAAAGAGTAAAACTATTCTGCATAATATGATGGATACATTGTAATTATACATTTGTCAAAACCATTATGTATCTGTACAACATCAAGAGTGAACCCTAATATAAACTATAGACTTTGAGTGATAATGATGTTTACAGAAAAAAATCCATTTGTTGTTCCACTTATTTATTCATTCATTGGTTGATTCTCGTTTGTGCCTTTACTGGGGGGTTGGAGCTGCAGCCTTGATGACAGACTTAGGATGACACTCTAACCAACTGTGCTACTTGGTTGAGGCTGTAGGTGTTATTTAAGACAACAGAAAAGATGTGTCCATAGAAGGACTTATATACAGATGTTGATAGCAGCTTTATCTGTAACAGCCAAAAACTAGAAACACTCCAAATGTTCATCAGCAGATGAATGGTTAAACACATTGTAGTATGGCCATAAAATGAAATATTACTTACCAACCAAAATGATCTACTGATAAAACAACATGGATGAATCAAAATAATTACACTGAATTCAAGAAGCCAGACAATAAAAGAGAACGTACTCTGTGACTCCACTTATATAATAATCTAGAAAATGAAAACTAATCTATAGTGACAAAGCAGGGTATGGTGGGGGAGGGGAAGAAGGGTGGAAGAAGGGATCAAAAAGGGGCTTAAGGAAACTTCGGGAGATGATGGGTATGTTTACTATCTTGATTTTGATGATGGTTTTAGGGATGTTTACATAAGTTTAAATGTATCCAATTGTACACTTTAAAAATGTACAATTTGCTGCATGTCAATTATACCTCAATAAAGCTGTTTAAAAGAGTGAGAGAGCTATTATCCAGCATAGAACTATGCTCTGGAGACAACTGTTAATGCTCTCTCAATTTGGGAAATAACCAAAGCTGTTCAGGAATTCTGATCGCCAAATTAGCAAGACTAGTGTCTATATGTGAGGAAAGAAAGTCTATACTTACTATAGAAAGTTGCCTTAAAATTTTTCAGTTACTTTCCCACATGGTCTCTGTGGCAGTTTCAACTTGAGTAATTTGTTTATTTCTGATTGCTGTAATAATTCTGTTACATGTCACTGTCTACTTTGTTACTTTGTCCCACCCACCCACCCACCCACCTTGCTCCACAGTTTCCCTGGCCCCATCTCCTTCTATGTACCATTGGGATTAAATATAAATTTAGCAGAAATGAAGGATGGGAAGGGGTGGGAAGGCAGTGGAGTGGTTTTATTAGAAGGTAAGAGCAGTCAGGCTAAAAAGATCATTTGGAGCCCAGCTAAATCCATTACTGAGATTCTGAAGCAAAAACTGCTCTAAGATCACCAGTAACACCGGATTCTGTTGCTGTCCTTTATTTTTGTGTTACAATCAAGTTCCCAACTATAAGACTGAGTCATCATAAGGAGAAACATACAGCACTCAAAACAGTTATATGTAATTTGCACCTATTAACTCAAATTGCGAGGGCCTGGGCTGCTTCTCAGCTCCAGTAGTAGTGGAAATATCGTTTAATCATTAAGAGCAATTGAGTAATCTAACAAAAAAGGTAAATTATTTCGTTCTTTAGGCTCTTTTATGTCTGATCTGTGGCTGGTATTTGGAATAGGGTTTTGCCTTCATTCTTACTGTTGTGTCTACTGAATAAGGCAACTATAGGGGAAGAAAAGCATCTAGGCTATTAAGTATGGGTCTCTCATTGGGTTTGCTCTGGGACCTTTGGCTGTCAGGCTCAGCCCAGCAAATTAAGTTTTTTCCCCCCTAGGCTAAATATTATTGTTTCAAAATTTTTCTTCCCTCCCGCTACTGAGCCAACGTGGTTGGATGCTTTGGACTGTTGGATCCTTTCAGGTGAAACGGACCAGGTTGGGGAGGACGGCTAGTGTTCAGGAGCTCAAAGGGCAGTGCTGTGCTCTAGGGTCTGTCTACAAGACGACCAAAGCCTTGAAGCAACTTAAATTTGCAGATGAGGGAACAAAGGCCTAAGAAGGATCCAGTTACCCAGCTAATCTGATTGCACACATATTTTTTGGGAGTCGTAGGCATAGGGACAGGGACATATTTGGGTAAATGGGATACAGAATTGGGAGTGCGACAGACCCAGATTCAAACAGAACTCTGTTACAGCGAGACCTCCCACCCACGTCTTCCGGGGCCCTCCTAGATCCGCCAGCAACAGTGCGAGGCGTCGCCGCGCTGCGCAACACGCCAGCGGCCCTGTGCGCTGGAAGCCCCGCGGCCACAGTGGTCGTCGCGTCGATACCCCCTGCCTGGCAGCCGTCTGAGCTCCCCGTGCCCACCGGCCCGCGCCCAACGCTCGGCTCAGGGGACGCCCGCGGCCGGATGTCCTGCGTCCTCACCCTCCGCATCCTGGCAGCCCTGGCGGCCTGTGGCGCCGTCGCCTTCCTGGGCTACTGTGTTTACTTCGACTGGAAACGGCGTGGCGACCCTGCGTTCAAGCGCCGCCTGCGGGACAGTGAGTGCTACGGCGGCGGCGGAGGGGCGGGAGCGAGCTGGCGGGCCCGCAGCTGCCGCCGCCACCTAGGGGGCCTCCCGGGCGCACACCGGTGTCGGGATGGCTCCCAACCAGCACGTGCCACGTTGTGTTTGCAGAAAGAAGAGCCCAGCAGCAAAAGGCTGAGGGACGGGGCGCCCAGGTGAGGTGCCTTAGTGACACCGAGGTGGCGTTATAGTGAGTAAACCACTCCTCCCGTAGTGCTAGTCCTGACTCCCGCTAGGGGTCCCCCTGGCTGGTTCCTGAGTAGGTACTTCTGAGCCCACCTTGAGGTTAGGGTTTAGTTTTTATTGTCACTTACAAAAAAAAAGAAGGAATGAGGAACCATTTGGGGGTTAGGAAAAGGCAGCTAGCTATACAGCCAGGGGTGTCCAACTCTTTGGCATCTCTGGGCCACCGGAATAAATTTTGGGACACACTTGTAATCACACGCGCGCGTACACACACCCCTCCCCCCCAGCCCCCTCATGTTTTAAGTAAATTTACAATTTTGTGTTGGGGCTCATTCATAACTGTCCTGGGGAGTGTGTGGCCTGTGGGCCACAGGTTGGACGCCCCTGCTTGAAAACAGGTGCTTATCATTGGAACGGGTGCTTTACATTGTCAGAAGGCAGAGGTGCGGCTCCCAGAGCTGCACCAGACACAGACCACGTGGTCGATGGCCAGGGCAGTGCTCCCATGCGGCTCACTTCTGTCCTGCCGCGGCCTTTCTTCTTGCTCAAAGGCAGAGCATCCCCTTTTCCTTCAAAACCGAATTTGATTAGTCGTTTTTTAAAGATACCAGTAATGCCCTGACAGGTATGTCTCTGTTGTTTGGGCATCTTCCCACAAAGTGAAAGGTCGCTGGTTCAATTCCTAGTCAGGGCATGTTCCTGGGGTGAGGGTTCAGTCTCCAGTAGGGGCACTTGTGAGGAAAAAACCAGTCCATGCTTCCCTCTCACATCAGTGTTTTTCTCTTTCTCCCTCCTTTCCCCTCTGTCTAAAAATAAAGATAAAATCTTTTTTAAAAAAGATATCAGTCACAATCATCATGGATGGCCCAACCTAACATCAGCTTTAAAAGTGCTGTGGAAGGTTCTTAGGTTCTTCTATGAACTTTCAGGAGGAATTAAGTTTTAACCTTCATATTCAGTTGATTAGTCAATGCTTGTCTGAGAGCCTCCTATGTGAGGCATTGTCCTAGCTGTGGCAGAGTTAGCGATAGGGGAAGATAACCCCCCATGTTAACAGGAGCTCAGAGGAAGAGCATTTGCAGAGCCAAATTATCATGGAGAGTGTTCTGCTTACCTATTGCTGCTTTAGACATAAGTGCTTAAAAGAGCCTCTCTTTTGCTCTTGCGTTTGCAATTGGAGCAGGATCTGGTGGAGACGGCACCTTTCTGCTCCACTCAGCTTCAGGCAAGTCAACTCCAGGGCTAGGTGCTGGGTCACCTGGAGGCTCATTCCCTCATAGGCAGGCAGTTGATGCTGGCTGTCCATTTAGCAGGGACTGTTGGCCAGAGCATTTACACAAGTCCTCTCAATGTGGCACGGTCTTCCTTGAAGTGTGGTGCCAAAGGAAGGAATGAAGAACCACCTGGGGCTTATGAAAAGGCAGCTATACAACCAGGGGTGTCCAGCCTTTTGACGTCTCTGGGCCACACTGGAAGAAGGCTTGTCTTGGGCCACACATTAAATACATTTTGACACATAATCACAAAAAAAAATCTCATAATGGGTCCCAAGGGGCATGTGTGTGTGTGTGTGTGTGTGTGTGTGTGCGCGCGCGCACGCATGTACCCACCTTGAGAGCTGCTCAGTTTTAAGGGAAGAGCAAACAGACTCCACCTCTTGATAGGAAAGGCAAGGTTCTTGAGTGCAGGTGGGACTGGGAATAGTGCTGTGGCTGTTTTTGGAACATGCAGTCCTTCACAGGAGACTTTGGAGGCATTGAACTTAGCCTGGAAGGATGAGTTAAATGTGGGTCTTGGTCTCAGGGCAGACAATATTCCGGACAGAGGAAACTGCACCCTTACTTAAAGGTGTGAAGCAGGGGGTCTGCCGGGTCTACTCAGTAAATCAATTTGACAGGAGTCACAGTGGAGAACAGTAGGAGGTAAGGCTAGAGAGCTAAGTAGAAGTTACATTAAGGAGGTTAAGGAATTCGGATTCAGTGAGGGAATTACTGAAAAATTTTGAGCAGGCATTTTTTTAAAGAAGGAAATAAAAACAAAACATTTTAGGTTAGATTAATCAGGCAGGAGTGTGCTAGATGGGTTGGAGACAAGGAAAAGCTATTGCAGCCTACAGGTGAGAGGTAATAAAAATCCTGAGCCACAGCGGTGTCAGTGATAACTGATGAGGAGGATGTGAGATCAATTGTCCGGGAAGAATAGACAGCTCATGGTGAAGAATTAAAGGATCATGGAGAGGCAGCAGTCAGATTTCTGGGGGTTCAGGATTGAGTCACTTAGAGAATAAGGGTATAATTGACACAGTTAAGGAAGCAGGACAGGGAGTGGCCAAAGAGCTGGACTGAGAGTGGAGATGCTTTCCCTGACCTCTCTGTCTGGGGCAGAGCCTGGTTCAGCTCCTCATCCCTCTCATAGCTCTTGTCCATGGGCAACAGTTACACAATTTGTTTGCAATACAATTTGATTGACTCCGTCTGCTTTCTTTTAACTCTCCATTGTCTCTTCAGTGCCTAGAACAGTGTCTAGTGTATCATAGGTGCCCAATAAATATTTGTTATTGTTTATTTTAGGTAGCTTGTGCAAAAGCACAGACAATGAAAATTCCAGTGTTTAATGGGTATTGTGGCCAGAGAGATAGCTGAGTAGTAGTTTGGTGTCATACTGTGGAGGGCTTTGAATGCTAAACTGGAAAGTTTGGATATTTTTATGTTGTAGTGGATAGCTAGTGATGGTGACTTTATTTCCGAGAATGGATGCATTTTTGTTTAGGGTGGGGTGGAGGAGGAAAGTTGAAGAAGTCAAGAAAATCTGTGGGTGGCAGTCCAGATGGCAAATAATGAAGATCTGAATTATTTCAAATGAGGAAGAGACAGATGCAGGATTTTTCAAATGTTCTTTTATATAATCCTCATGACTTTATCCTTTTAATTTTTTTTTATCCTCATCCAAGGATATTTTTTTTTTTTCATTCCTTTTCCAGCGAGACAACCTAGGAATGTGCCCTGACTGGGAACTGAATCCACAGTCCTTCGGTTACTTGATGACACTCCAAACAAGTCAGGGCTATTCTTTTAATTTTATAGATGAATAAAGGTGCAGAGAAATGTCTCTTTCCACCTTTTCTAGGGTCTCGTTTCCCACTCACTCTCAGGTCTTTATAGTTTTCCAAGTATGGTCCATGGACCATCTGTATTAGATATTCCTGGGGCATTTGTTACAATATAAATTGTTTGACTCGAGGACCAGACAGTTCTGACTTAGGCGCTCAGGTGTAGGCCAGGGGCTATTTCGGCATTGATTCTAAGACCTTAGAATTTATCAGAATCACCTAGAAACTTGTTGAAATGCAGATTCCTGGGCCCTGATCCTGGAGATTGATTCAGTAGGTCTGGGTGGAGCCCAAGAAACTGCAGTTTTAACAGCTACATCATCTGATTCTTGTGAAAGTTCCCTGATCTCCCTGGAGGTGCTTTCCCCTCTCCACAGGTGACCTGAGAGGTACTGCTCTAGACCCAGGGTCCCCAAGTTCACCTGCTTGCCAGACTATTGCCTAGATGCTCTACTGGTATCTCATTTTGTGTGTTCAGAAGTAAATTCACCATCTCATCCCTTGCCACTGCGCCCCCTTGGTTAATTTATGATGCTCTTTGGTATCACCCGTCTCCCTTCTGTGACCCTGTCTCCTCTTGCTTAAATACCAACCTCATCCTCTACAATCTGTCCGCCATTCTTATTTTTCTGTGCTTTAATCTAAGGTCCTAGTCCCTTCCTATTTCCATTGCTTCCACACTACTTCAGGCTTTTATTACCTTTTACCCTGGCTATTGAAGTGATTTCCTAACTTGTTTACCTGCCTCTCCAGTACATCTAAGCGGCAGCCCTGGATATGTAAATCTTGGCGACAGCTCCCAGCTCTGCACATGAAAGACCAATCCCCCTGTAGCTTGGCACCACAGCTTTCCATAGGTGCCTTCTGAATTGACAGCCTTATTTTCCTAAGGGTTGGAAATAATAGATGGTAATTATCATTGTTGCAGTATTCACCCTCATAATCTGCTAAATAGAGATCACTTGATTTTTTCCCCCTGCAGTTTTGCATTGTCTGTACTTTCTTTGTTGGACTTTCACTGAGCTGCTCCACATCCCAAATGCTGTCTTTTCTGAGAAACTTCCCCTGATTCTCCAACCAGATGTAATGTCTCTGTACATTGAATCCCAGAGGACATGGGGCTTTATTGTTGATGTGTTATTGACCTTTTTGTAAAGAATGGGCTTTACTTTAATTTTTCCTTTTTATTGAATTTGTTGGGGTGGCACTGCTGGTGTGTCATTGATCTTCGGCATACCCGTCCCTCCCCTTGGTCAGGCTCTGGGTTCCTTGGGGATGGGCACAGGGGTCTTAGTCCCTTCCCCTTCCATCTCTCCCAAGAGTGGCTCACCCCTTAGTGCTCATTAAATATCTGTTGAATGAAACCTTTGATTTTTACTGATCATTAGCATGTTTGCTGACAAAAGCTTAAAATATGATCCCCTCCCCCAGGCTCATCCCATTTTAGAAAGAAAATTCTTGGAAACAAACACAAACACTCTCCAGATATAAAAGACTGCAGCTGACATGACTGGCAGTGGAGCTGATATTTGTGGCTGGGGGTTGCTCACTCTGCCTTGAAAGACCAGCCCTGGGCATGGGACCAGTGATGTGGTATCCTGTGACCCTGGTCACCTTCATGAACCAGGCTGCAGCAAACCAAAGCCACCTTCTTACCACCAACTGCGCTGCCAGCTCTCCACCATGCTCTTTGCCAAATCAACAAGCAATGTTAATACCTCAAGCAAGGAAGTAGTTTTGCAATGTACAAAACAACCTTTGTTATAGCTAGTTACAGTAGGGCTTCTGATATGTGTACTTAGTAAGCTGAGTAAAATTTGGATGAGTTATTACAAGCATCTCAACCTAACTTGAATATGACATGTATTTTTTTAATCACCTGAAATCGTACTACATTTTAAGAAATCAGTTTAAACGTTATGAAGAACATCTGCATTTGTCATACTTTGGAATTAGAAACTAGGTTCAAGATGTGGGTTTTAAAAGAAAAGCTAAATAATTGTGGTTAGTGACCATATTCCTTACATCCAATACTCATTGTTAAATATTTTGTGAATCTTAGGTGTGGGATCCAGCAAGGAATGAAAAATTGCAAGAATTTTTTCTGCAAGAGGTACAGATGGGAGAACTTTGGTTATCTAGAGGTAAGAACGTAAACTTTCTTTTGTAAGCAATTATTTATAATTGTTTATGTTCACTTATTAATTGGTATCTGTATGTCAAATAACTTAACTAGCTAGATGTGTTGATCAATGTGCTTCATTTTAAAGAGAAACTATCCCAGTATCTTCACTCCATCACACTGTCTAGCTCTAATATGTCATATGTAGTTATTGCTCTAGTTTACACTGCAGTCTTGTAGTGCCAGTGGAAAATCAAAGCCAAATGCAAAAACATCACATCTTTTTTGAGGTACAATTCTGAGTAAATGAATTTTCCAAAGGACTACTTGTATGAATCAAAACTTTAAAAGTTTTAACTGCTTTATAAAAATGTTCCTGCCTTCTTATTCTTATTAAAATACTTGTTTTTGATGATAAAAACATTATGAAGGGCCCTTCTTATCCCGTCTGTTTTAGTGATGCCTGTAGGGATTACTTTGCACTTAATGGCCGTGACCTGTATTTTGAATTGTAATTTATCCCCAATTTCAGATAGATATGAGAGAAAACATAATATTGTCAGGTAAAATGATTGTAGATAATATCAGTGTTGTATAACTATTACATATAATGACCATGTTTTTATTCTGGTGTTAAACAGTGGAAAGGAAAATAATTTGGGGGATGGGGCTTCTTATCTAAGGGATAAATGATGTTGCTGGGTAAATGAGCATTATGCCCATTTATGTATCTTTTTGTCAAGTGTTACAAATTCCCTTTCATCTCTCACTACCTGTACCTGTTTTTGCTTCAAAACTTATTGTGTGTTGTTTTTTTTTTAAAGATTTTGCTTTTCCCTCTGCATTTAAGAGAGTAGCATTCTCCAGGATTTATAAGGACAAAAAGGAAGTCAAGGTCCTGGACAACTCATAGCAATACCCAAGATTTTTACTTTAAACAGTGGCTTAAAACAATGATAAAGGCCCTGCCTGGTGTGGCTCAGTTGGCTGGGCATTGTTCTGTAAAGCAAAATATCACTGGTTTGATCCAAGGAACAGTGAAGGAACATGCCGAGGTTGCAGGTCCTGTCTCATTTGGGGTGTGTGCAAGAGGCAATGGATCCATGTCTCTCCCCCTCTCCCCCTCCCTTCCCCTTTCTCTAAAAATAAAATTTAAAAAATGGATTAACAAAAACATGATAAAGGTTTGAGAAATTAAAAAATTATCGCAGCCATTCAGAATCATTGCACATTAACCATAGTTTGAAATTTTAGTATTATATTCAGTACCTCTTAGTTTTATAAGTGGACTAAAATATCTATTAAATATTAATGACAACAAAAATGGTTAGAACTGACTTAAATGATATAAACAGGATTGACTTTAGACAAGGTAATGAAGTATAAGCGTAAGGTCCTTCATTTGCATGGGCCTCTTTAAAGGTGCTGGGAGGTATCCTACCAATTTGTATTCATAATTTTATATTTTCTTAAACAGGGGTCCCCAAATGATATAAACTGGGGCCTCATAAAATCTAGAGTAATCCCTAGATATGGATACTCCCTGGATATAGGGGCAATTAAAATAGAACGATTCAGCTTTAACATTTATTGAATTGGGATAGTATAAATATGGAGAGGAAAATACTGAATAAAAATAAAAGCTAAATAATTGTGGTTAGTAACCATATTCCTTACACCCAATACTCAAAAGAAAAAAAACATTTTTTTACATTTTATTTTTATTCACTGTGTTTAAGAGCTATCATGTAATAGTTTAGTCTTTGAGATGAATATGTTACAGATGTTGAGATGATTAAAACAGTAATGCAAACTTGTTCTAAAAATCTTTCCCTCTCAAAGGTGCTAACATTATTTCTGTAAACCCATAGATTGATTAATTAGCTCTTTAATGGTTTTGTTTTTTCTGTATTTTACTTCTGATGCAGTTCTCAATTTTTGTTGCTTATTTTTTAAATTCCCACCAAACCCTAAACTAATCAAATCAGAATCAAACATCAGTATTTGGTAAACCTCTCTAGGTTATGATAATACATATCCAACATCGAGAACCAGTATTCTAATGCAGTAACTTTTCACCCCATTTTCTGTAATCTTTTTCAATTTTCTCCATCTGCCTCTGCTACTGCCCCCAATTTTCATTACTTTGTTCTCAGGTGTAATAGTTCTATAACTATCTCAACTCTGGTTGTCTGTATGGGACCATGGAGCCAATGATTTGATTGAGTTTATTGGTTGACTTAACCGATCAAATTGTTTTTGTGTCATATTAGTTTCATCAACTTCAGAGCAGTCACTATTATATTTTTCTTCAAAATGCTCAATACATTCAAAGTTTTTTGACTTAATGCATCATTTTCATGAAGCTGTAATTTTATTAATTTAAAATAAACATTACAGTGAAATACTTCATCTAAGAAATAGCTTCTTTAGTCCTGGCCTAGGAGTTCAGTTGGTTAGTGCTGTCCTGATACACCAAGGTTGCAAGTTTGATCCCTGGTCAGGACATATACAGTGAATGCATAAATAAGTGGAACAACAAATTGATGTTATTTTCTCTAAATTCAATTTTTTTAATGTAAAAAATAAAAATATCTTCTTTAAATGCCTAAGTTACCAAAAACCCAGCAATGAATATTTATTACTTTGGAAATATAAAACTGGAGGAATCAAGATGGCGGAGGAGTGAGTGGAAGTCACACTGACCTCCTCCCAGGACCAACCTGGAATTACAACTAAATTGTGGAGAAATAACCTGGAACAAACAACTAATTTATAGCGAGAGAAGAGCCTTGTAACCTCGGAGACAGAAGAATCGGCTTTAGTGCAATATAACTGGTAAGGAGTGCGGTACAGACCTGAGAAGGTGGGCGGCAGCCCCAGAAAGATATTGAAACGGCCAGTTGGATCCCTCTGAGAAGAGCAGGGTCTAAACCAAAAGCGGGGATCTCTAGCCCACAGCACCAGAGCCCCCTAAATACACGGAAAACAGCCAGCTGCAAAGAGCGGCAGGGTTGCTCTCTGCCAGAGACAGGCGGCTGGAGACACAAAGAGCCTTCTAAGGAGCCAACGCAAAATTTTTATTTGTAGCCACTTACCCTGGTCTTCAGCAAAGGCAGGGGCAGAGTGGGCTACAGACGCCTAAGGAGACTGCGGAAGGAGGTTTTGGGGAGAAAATTGAGAGTAGCCGGCGGGATCTCAGTGCTGACTCATTCCCCATGTGGCGGCAGCCATCTCGCTCAGGCAGGCCACTCCCCCTGAGCGGCACCAGCGTCAAAGGACCCAATAGCCCCACCCCCAGGTGGGATTCCACCCCGCCCTGTGCTGTCTAAGCTGCCTGCTGAGTGCAGAGTGGCAGCCACAGACAGTAAGTAGATCCCTGGCTAAAGCGGGCGCAGAGAGGTCTGGCAACACTTGAGGAGAGACTGGGAATGGAGGCTTTGGGGAGAGAACTGAGAAAGTAGCCAGCGGGATCCCAGTGCGGACTCCTCCCCCATATGCAGCAGCCTGAGAGGACCCAATAACCCCACCCCCAGGAGGGACTCTGCCCCACCCTGAGCTGTCTAAGGTGCCCTACTGAGTGCAGAGTGACTAGATTAATAGCTGAAGGAGACAGCCACAAACAGTAGATTACTGGAAGTGTCAAACAGACTGCCTAAGGTCAGACTGGGTCAACAGCTGACATCATCAGAGGCAGATCCAGAAAGTAAAAACGCTTCTCCAACCATAGAAGTGCACACCACAAAGTCAGGAAATCAAGACAGATCAACTTAAGGAGCAGCAGCAAAAGAGTCTCACAGATAATGGGAAGAAAAAGAAATACACCCCACTTGAAAGGAAAGGAGGAATCCCCAGAAAGAGAACTAAATGAAACAGAGGCAAGTAAACTGTCAGAGATTGAGTTCCAAACAACGGTTTGAAGGAAGCTCAGAGAGCTCAGAGAGAATTACCAAAAACTACAGGGAAACTATGAGGAACTTACTGCAAACTATATCAGCATGAAAAAGGACATAGAAACTATCAGTGAGAGACAAGAGGAAATGAAGAATACAGTTTCTGAATTGAAGAACACAGTAGAAGGAATCAAAAGCAGGCTGGATGAAGCTGAGGTGCGAATCAGCTAGCTGGAGGACGAGGTAGAAAAAGCTCCCAGAAAGAGCAAGAAAATTAAAAAAGACTCAAAAAGAATGAAGAGACATTGAGGGAAATGCAGGACAACCTGAAACATAATCATATCTGTATAATAGGTATACCAGAAGAAGAGGAGGAGCAAGGGATAGAGAACCTGTTTGAAAAAGTCATGATGGAAAACCTCCCTAATTGGAGGAGAGAAAAAGTCACACAAGTCCAGGAAGCACAGAGGGTCCCATTCAAGAGGAACCCAATGAGGCCCACTCCAAGACACATCATCATTAAAATGGCAAATATCAAAGACAAACAGAGAATCCTAAAGCAAGAGAGAAAGAGGTAGTAACATACAAGGGAGCCCCAATACAGCTACCATCTGACTTCTCAACAGAAACACTACATGCCAGAAGGAAATGGCAAGAAATATTCCAAGTCATGAAAAGCAAAGGGCTACAACCGAGACTGCTCTATCCAGCAAGGCTCTCGATTAAAATGGAAGGCAAAATAAGGAGTTTCCAAGACAAAGGAAGGCTAAAAGAATATACCTCCACCAAACCAGCACTGCAAAATATGCTAAAGGGACTACTTTAAGAAAATGAAGATAAAGTCTATGAATACCCAGTTCCTTTCGCAGTTGCCAATACTTGATATTACCAATATTTTTAATACTCATTAATCTGATTGTGACAATGATGTTATTTTAATTGTTCCTTTACTATTTGTTGAAACTAAGCCTGTTTTAGTATATTTCTTGCCTATTTCTTTTTTTTTTTTAAAAAAAGCTTTAAATGACTTTTTGGTATTCTTTATACATTTATTGATTAAATGTTTGTAGAACTCCCCCCCCGAAAACCCCCCCCAAAAACCATATTAACCATGTTTTAGATGTGTTGCAAGTACTTTCCTATTCTATTCCTTGTCCTTTAACTTTTTTTATATTACTGTACAGTCTTAAATGTTTAATGTAGTCATATTGCCAATATTTACTTTATAGCTTCTGAGTTTGAATATTTTACTTCAGGTCATGAAAAACATTAGTTCTATTTTCTTCTAAAACTTAGATTCTACATATTTTTAACTCACCTGAATATTTCCTGTATAATGTGTGAAATAGGGCTCTATATTTGTTTTATTTCAAGTAATAGTGGTCCATGCACCTTATTTGTTGAATAAACCTTATTTTACCCATTGACTTGAAATACCAACTTGATCATATATTATATTGTTAGATATATACATTTGTCTCTAGAATGTTCATTATATTTCATTGATCTACTTGATTATTTCTGTGCTGGGGTCATGTTGGTTTAATTGCTGAGACTTTAAAATGGTTTTAAATTTTTTAAATATTTTATAATTAACTTTGACATTTAAAAAAATAAATAAAATCAATCTTCAGTTAAGAAAGAGAGATGGAACTCCTACCTTTTGTAACAACATGGATGGAACTGGAGAATATTAAGCTAAGTGAAATAAACCAGTTGATGAAAGACAAACAACATATGATCTCACCTATGAGTAGACTCTATTCAACAAAATAAACTAATGAACAAAATAAACCACAGGCACGGAAACATGGAGCAGACTGGAAGTGACCAGAGGGGATGGGGAAAGAGGACAATGGGGGAAAGAAGAGGGACTAGACAAAGAACATGTATGAATCACCATGGACATGGACAAGAGTGGAAATTGACTGTGGGAGTGGGGGATGGGGGTTGGATGGGTGGAGGGGAGTAAAGGGGGAAAAATTGAGACAACTGTAATAGAATAAACATGATTTATAAATTAAAAAAAAGAACAAGTAAAAAAAAAAAAAAGTAAAATTAGCCCTGGCTGGCATGGTGGCTCAGCTAAAAGTTGCTGGTTTGATTCCCGGTCAGGGCACATGCTTGGGTTGTGGGCCTGGTCCCTGGTAGGGGGTGTGCGAGACGCAAACGATCAATGTTTTTCTCCCTTTCTCCCTACTTTTCCCTTCTCTCTAAATAACTGAATAAAATCTTTTAAAAATATAAAATGAGATGTCTATAGACAAAAAACCTTAAGTCATAAAACCTACATTATCAACAAGGCTTGTTTTGTCGATGTGTCTAAGTTAGGTCATGTCTTTCTCAGTTTTTAAGCATAATACGAAACTCTGGGGAACATTTTTTTGTGTCCACCATGCACCTTTTATACAATCATGTATTTCAATCAACAAATGGAAAACTAATTTCCATGAATAAGAATGTAATGTTATATTTAACTAGAGTGAAATGTATTTTATTTCCTAGTTATATTAAATATATGTCACAATTTCAATTTCTATTATTGCTTAACACTGGAAGAGATGCAGCACACTCAAGTCTCAAGGTTCAGAACATTAGGTTCTATTACTGATTTTGGCATTAATTAGCTTTGAAACCTTGAATCATTTCATTGATCTTTGCCTCAGTTTCCCAAAACAAGGTGAGACTGATTTCATGTTCTAACTTAAAACAGAAATTCTATGGTTAATTTCTACTCTTCACAAATTTTCATTCTTTCTTTATTGCCAATCATCCTAAAACTCATTTTAAAAATTTACTTAGAAATGAAATCTCTCATTTTCTTCTCCTGGATATGTAATTCAGGTTTCACTAAATCTTGTTTCAGGTGACAATAAACTCAATTTTTAAAGTGTCATTTTAGCCAGAAAAACAGATGTTTCATCTACAATTTTAGCCGTTACATGTGTAAAGAAAACCTGCCTCATGTCAATTAACAGAACACAATCTTTAAAAAAGCCAGTACCCACCTTCTGAATACCCAAATTGTAGCTTATATGTATTTCCAAAGCAAGAACAGACTTTTAGAGTACACTTACTGTAATTTAGGTCATGAAGTAACTCATAGTTCACCTTAACCACAGTAAATCTAACTGGCAGCTCAATATTTCCCCCCACATTTATACCCTTTATGAGACTTGTTTACTTAGCCTTTATTTTGATTCGCTTTTTGAGTTTTAATGCTTGGTGTTTCTTGGTAATCTGTATAATGTATATTTTAAGGAACATTAAAATGTTGCTCTGAACTTCTCTGTTTCAGGAGAGCACAGAATGGGGGTTGAACATCTCAGCAATGCTCTTTTAGTGTGTAGGCAACCAAGGGAACTTCTGAAGGTTTTTAAACACACACTGCCTCCCAAGGTATTTGAGATGCTGTTACACAAAATTCCCCTTATTTGCCAGGTGAGCACATATTTAATTATCTCTGTGAAATGAACAGAATAACTGTATTGGGTTTGAGTACACAAACTATAAAGTATGTGTGTGAATGGCCCAAAGTTTTAAATGAGCCACATCTCTATTTTTTGATTGCCTTTCTTGCCTTAAGGTGAAACAAGCCAATACTTTCATGTTTGTTTGACTAATGTATTGTATATTTTGTTGAGTATTATACATGTTTCAGCATCTCAGTTTTAAAAACAGCATTGTTAATCTTTTGTCTTTGTGCTTTCAAAGGTACCACAATTACTGACTGTAATGTCAATGGAGTTGTTATTTAAATGACCTAGTAGATTAAAAATTAGATGTAACATAGAAAACAGTAAATTATCAAAGCAGAACAACACTTCCACTTTGCATTAGTATGACAAAACATAGATATCACTTTGGTAAATTTAAACATATAGGCTATTCAGTGTTTTCTTAAGTACAATTTGAGATTGATATCAAATGAAATCCACTGATAAGCATATTCATTAATAGGTGTTAATCCACTTACATTTACTAAACTGCTTGTTACGCTTACGCACCAATTAGAATTTCCTAAAAATGCTTGTATTTATTTTAGGATTCATTTAGCCACAAGACACTAACTTTAGTTTGCTTTTTATTACACTGATCAGATGTCACTGCTGAAAATATAGTTGCTGGTCTAACTCAGAATCATTCATGTTCTCATCTTTTGCATAAAACACAAGACTCCAGTAGAGCATAACAGTCAACTCTTAAACATTCCCAAGCTAGTCTCAGATGGGCTGTTTCTGGAGGACATATATATGAAAATGCAGCTAGAATGTGTAATGCCCACCCTGACACAAGTGAGGCAAGAAAAGGATCGTTCATTGAAATAATTAGCAAGTAACCCTTTTATGTGTTTACCAGCAATTTGAGGCAGACATGAATGAACAGGAATACTTGGAGGATGATCCTGATTGAAAAACATTTCAACGTCTCCACAGTCCAGTCAGAATCATATGGTACTATACAATATAAACAACTGCTCAGTGACACTTCCATTTATTTTACTTTTAGTAATAAAAAATTTTTCTATCTCATTCATGATTGAACACATATTTTGCTTTAAAATTAATAGTCACAATTGAAGAAATAATGGTTTATTTTTCTAATCACATGACTAAGCTCCTGAATCATAAGGCCTCAACAAATTTGCATCTTACTGTTTTCATCGAACCTTCTATTTTGATTATCCCTGGTGAATAGCAATTTTGTTTCTCCAGTGGTTTCCATTTGCCAAGCAGTCATGACAGATGGTTAACATGGCGGCTGCTGGTTTCAGGGGATTCTGTCAGATGAATCCTCATTTCCAGAGCAACAGCTGTTGGCAGTCTTCGATGGAAAGTCTGTCCTTCAGGACTCTATCGTGGCTGACCAAGGAGTCCTGCTTTGGCTGCCAGGGCTTCATTCTGCTGAATATGATATTCCTGAAATCTCATGGATATTCTTTGCGTCATTTTTAAATATTTCTGTAAGCAATGTTCTGAACAGGTGGTCTAGAATTAAAAAGAGAAGATGGAAGAGGAAATACAAAAATATTAACCAAAAGAAAAAAAAGCATGTATTCTAAAAGACCAACAAGTGGGTACTTTTCTTTGAATGTATCTGAGAATTAAATGGTATTAATAAGTAGCAGGTAGCCATAGCTTTCAACTGTTTTAATACAAGAATAAATACATATTGAATACCTATGAGTTCGTAGGCCTTAAAAATGATGCTAAGTCCCTCCCATCTGGATTAGATTTTCTGCAGGTTTTAATACGAACTGAAAGCCCGCATTCCTATCCCGTTATTCTGATTGTTCAACTGTAGGCCCAGTAGCAAGTTTATTCCTTTTTAATGAGAAATTCCATTCTTAACATTTAACTTAATTCTCAACCTTTCACTTTCTACCATTAAGAATATTACATCTAGCATCTGTCAAACTTTGTCATTTGTTTAACAAGTATTTATTTATTGCTGGTTACATGTCAGTTCTCAGCACGATAAGCCAGTATATAAATATTTTGATGAGGATATTAAAAGTTATGACTTCTGCTAGGATTGGGTTTTCAGAGTCTACTTATGCAATACGAGCCATCAAATTCAAGTTTTGCTTTTTCCAAAGTTCACCTGAATTCTCAGGGTCAGATAGGAAAGCCATGTCAAGTCTCTAGCTAGTCATCTTGATTGAAAGCTAATTAGTAAGACTTTTTGCAATGGAACAGTAACTCCACAAGCCCCAGGCACCTTCTCTTTAAAAAAAAAAAAAAAAGTCTGTGTTGGTTAAATGTGACTGTCATATTCAATTTGTTATCATTATACCCAATGTTATGGGTCCTTGGCTACTTCAGTTCCCCCAAGTGATGGAACATAAAAGGTAGTCAATATTCCTGTAATAACTAGGAACAAGCAAATTACCTAGGGGAATCCCATTTAAATTGCTGATCACAAGCTTAAAAGAATTTTTAATGTGCAATACTTTTCATACCTCTTCAGGTTTTACTTCTCTTGTTGTGAAGTCTTTAACACAGTCCAAAAAGCAGGTTTCTGTAAGTTTATTGTAGGTTCCAAGAAATTCTTTAAACTACAAACAAATCAGAAAGTCCTTTAATATCAGGGTTTTAAAACAAAGATGTTTTGAAACTTTAATTACTGAAGTTTGTATTTAGGCAAAATATACTGTAATATTTGAAATCAAAGGTCTTTCGCTAACTTAAATGGGTATATACTACGCTCTGCAGGGGCGCCCAACCTGCAGCCCGGTGGCCGCACGCAGCCCGGTGGCCGCACGCAGCCCAGGCGGGCTGTGAATGCGGCCCAACACAAAATCAGTAATTTACTTAAAATGTTATGAGATTTTTTTGTCATTATGTGTTGCAATGTATTTAATGTGTGGCCCAAGACAGCTCTTCTTCCAGTGTGGACTAGAGATGCCAAAAGGTTGGACACCCCTGACTGAGCTACATAATATAGTCAGATTTTCCTGTTGAATATTCTTTCCTGGGTTATCTGAAAAATAAAGTTATTTTGTGAGATCACTGACTGACATGGTTGCATCTAATAGTTCCTTAAGTATTTGCAAAATACTTTCTCCTTAATTATAATACCTTACCTGTTTTATCTGATCAGTTTCTGGCATTTGTGCAGCCATATTCTTTCGGTATGTTTATTAGTCACCTGATTTAAAAATTAAAAAAAATAGTTTGTCAATCTGTAAACAAATGTTTTTAGGCTAGCTAAAGACTTAGGTAATCAAAACACAAGTAGTTTATGAAACAGAACTGAAACAAGTCTACCTGAAATACTGTTCATATTTTATGAATTTCTGACCGTGTATGTAATTATATGCCACTCCCCCAATCTTTCACATCATTAATGACAACAAAGAACCATAAAGTTCAGAATTAGATTAAAAAAAAAAAAAAGGATTTTATTTATTTATTTTTAGAGAAAGGGGAAGGGAAGGAGAAAGAAAGGGACACAAACATCAATGTGTGGTTGTCTCTTGTGTGCCCCTCACCGGGGACCTGGCCTGCAACCCAGACTTGTGCCCTGACTGGGAATCAGACCAGCGTCTGCTTGCTCCATCCACTGAGCTGCACCAGCCAGGGCTAGAATCATATTTTTTAATGCTATTTCCTATGGGACCCAAAGACCCGGTCTATCAAAATCTCCAATTTTAAGACGATTTGCTCTGCTATGTTGCAAAAAAGCCACTTGTTAAGGCCCCATTCCTAGTAGGATTCTAAGGGAAACCAAGACATCTCTGTTGTTTTCCTGTAAGTACTTAGTTTCCCTGTAAGTACTTAACTATTCTACTGTTTGCTAATATAACTTTGACCTATGCTACTAATGTCCCTTTCACTTTTTCTATGCAAATAAAAAATCCTATTAATTGTTAACAAACACCATTCTAAGTTATAAATCAGCAACCCAAATGAACAATATTCAGAGTGCAAACAGACTCTACTAGACTCTAAAAGGAAGTTACAGGAGTTGTGCATTCTCCAATTCAAAAAGGGCAAACAGAAACTTCTTAACATATGACCCTTATAATCTAACCTGGGACAACAGAGAAGTGAAGATAAGGAAGTCAAAAAAGCCTTTCTGAATTACTGGGATTTTCACATATCCTAAATGGAGGGCCCAAGCTCAGTTAATTCAGATATAAGAATGTATTCCATTATTTATTTATTCTATCTGGCTAGTTCTAAAAAGGAAGAACATCTTATATAAAAGATGTGTATAAACTAAAGCTGTTTAAAACAGAAATTAGCCCTGGCTGGTATGGCTCAGTGGATTGAGCACCAGACTGCGAAGCAAATGGTAGCTGATTCGATTCCTGGTCAGGGCACCTGCCTGGGTTGCGGGCCAGGTCCCCCGTAGGGGGTGTGTGAGAGGCAACCACACACTGATGTTTCTCTTCCTCTCTTTCTCCCTCCCTTCCCTTCTCTCTAAAAATAAATAAATAAAATCTTAAAAAAAAACAAATTAAACAGCACGTAAAAGGTAGAATAAGCAAATAAAATTTTGTACACTGTTGACAACAGACTTTCTATGCATTATATATAGCTCTGAGTTTCATGACGACTAATACAAAAAAGGTAAACTGGATGTGTAAGTCATTCTTATTGACTCAATTATTATTTAAAGTGGCTCTGTAAAGCATGAAATTTTTATGAAGCTGTTATAGAGATGAAACTAATCAGGAAATTCAAAATGCCACCATAATGAAAAAAATTAACATTCTCATTTGATTAATGAATATAATCAATGGTAATTCCATTCCAGCATTTCCAACCATGTATACACCTTCCACTCTTTTGCATTTATTCTACCCTTCTCTTTCTTCCTTATCCTATAATTTAGTATTACTGACATTTTTTAAACCCTTTTTTTCATATGTAAGGGAAAGCATCAGTTCTTTCCTATTCGTTAAGCTTATCCCATTTGAGGCATTACAGCCCATAGTTATCTCTGAAGTAATGATTAATAAAAAGTCTGGGTTGGCAAAAAAGTGCATTTAGTTTTTTCCGTAAAAAAGACATATTTTTCATTTTCACCAAGAACTTTGTTGATCTGAACATTTTGGGTATGTTGGCCATCTCCCATGTGGTATAACGCTGATTGCTCTCAATTAATGTCTTGATTTGGTCACTATCAGCTTCAACTGGTCTACCTGACTGTCGAGTACCACCCAGAGAGAAATCTCCAGCACGAAACCTTGTAAACCACTTTTGATACATTCAGTCAGTCAAAGCACCTTCTCCATACACTGAACAAATCTTTTTTTGCATTTCAGTTGTTTTTACCTTTCTTGAAATAATAAAGCATAATATGCTGAAAACTTGCTTATTTTCTTCCATCTTCAATATTAAAATGGATACACAAAAATTTACCAACTTTGATGGCTTTTTAAAAAATACATGTTAATATGACAGCTGTCACATTATAAGCTAACAAAATTGTTTAGAATGAAGTTCAAGACAACTAAGTGCTGCTAGAACCATCTTATGGAAAAAACCAAATGAACTTTTTGGCCAACCCAATATAATTGTCTGTACTTCTGAGAGTCTTTGGTTTAGTGGCTACAGGATGAGCTATCTTTTCAACTAAAACTCTTCATTATCTGCTACAGACGATGCAATGGAGGTCTTAGGTTAGCTCAACATTCAGGCAATTTAGTGTCCATAAACACCTAAAAATTTAACAAGAATATTCTTTATTCCTACTTTACTTCAAAGCTTTGTGAATTATATATATATTTGACCACATAAACTACCTGGAAAGTACTAAGAATTACCTGAAGTTCACAATTTCCCATACGGTGCTGTGACTATCATCATTTCTATGCTCCACGCAAGATACTATCCATTACAGATTGCCTTAGCTCATTTAAGTCACGAAACGCTGATTCCATACCCTCCAACTACTGAACTGCATAGAAATCAAACTCAATTGTTGTATCAGCCTTGATTATCAACTTCATAATTATTTATAGTTTGGAGTCTTAGCAGTTACGATTTTAAGTAATTGGTAGATACTCATTCAATAAACATTTTTTGAATGTTCCAAGGACTGTGCTAGTTATGACACCAGTCATGATTCTGAGGCAAGATGCATCTTACTACTACTGTAAAATACTACCAAACAGTCAAAGAAACAGAGGATTCTGTCAGTATATCATACAACGAGGCTGTTTAGGACTTGTACTTCCAGGAAGATAGGGTAGATGTGATTTTACTGTTCCTCTCACTAAGTATTACTAACCCCCTGGACATTAAATATAAAACATCTGACCCTGAAAAGGGGGAGAAGGCGGCATACTGGATAGGCACTTTGGGACCTGACAAACGACACTACTGTGAATTCTCTCTGTTGTCTCAGCTATCAGACTTAGAGCTGAAGAAGCTGGCGATCTACAGGTGCCAATGGAAACAGTCCAAAAAAGCCCTCCCTGCCCTGGCTGCCCCCTCTAGCCAAAGGTCCAGGAATGGAGAAACATATTAGAAACTTTTAGACGATTAACTGCTGTGCTCAAGGCAAACACAGAAAAATTGTTGCCCCCATCCCCACCTACATCAGCCTAAGCTAGGCTGGGGGGCCCAAACTTCCACTCTCACTAGGTTGTAATGAGGCTTTCCAACTCTCCCACCACAGTGGGGGTAGGGACTTTCATTTTATGGTGCATAAATGATGACCCCCATCCCCACAGTCAAGTGTCAGTGAAAACTACAAGTAGAGCCTGAACTTCCACCTCAACTGGTAGTAATGAGGTACGCCTCACCCTTCCTCCCTTCTGTGGCTGTATCAAAGGCAGCTTAGTTGAGATTCAGGGCTTGCCTTACTGCCCCATTTTAATTAGGCCACACAGCTGCTTTTGGTGTCAGTGGAGGCCATGTGGGGAGCAGTAATGACACACTGCAGTCCTTCTCAGCCAGGGAAGTACGGATGGAGGCCTAGTGCAGAGCTGGAGCTACGACTTTCACTAAGTGGTAACAAGAAGATCTCCCTGCAAAGTGACAGAATGAGGAACCTGGACCTCTCCCTTCACCTGGCAGTAGGAAGGTGACACACCCATCACCTCCTCTGCTGGAGCAGTGTCTAAAGGAACCAGCTAGAGGAGAAGGTTTAAACAAGATCTAGAGTCTCATAGCACAAGATGCAAAATGTCCAGGTTACAATATAAAGTAATCATTCATACCAAGAGCTTAGAAGCTCTCAAACTAAATGGAAAAAGACAATCAACAGATGCCCAAGACTGAGATGACAGATGTTAGAATTATCTGACAAAGATTTTCAAATGGCTCTTAAAAGAAATGAAAACTATAATAACCAAAATAAATTCAGATACAATCAACAGCAGAATGGAGGGGACAAAGGAAGGAATCATTGAACTGGAAGACAGAAAAAAGAATTATCCAATCTGAATAACAGAATGAAAAAATAAACAGAGGACCACAGACTTGAAGGACTGTAACAAAAAACTTAACATTTGTGTCATTAGAGTTCTGGAAGGAAAGGAGGAGAGTAGAGATGTAAAAGTAGAAGAAGTAATGGCTGAAAACTCCCCAAATTCAGCAAAAGACATAAACTTGCAGATTTAAGAGGCTGGATGAATTCCAAAAACACAAACACAAAGGAGTCCGTATCAAAATACATTATAGTCAAACATCTAAAAATTAAAATGAAAAATTTTGAAAGCAGTGAGAGAAAAATGACATCTTACTTATAGGGGCAAAGCAATCAGGATGACAGCAGATTTCTCAACAGTCAACCAAGAAACCTGTACCTAGCAAAAATATCTTTCAGGAATGAAGGGGAAATCAAGACATTGTCAAATGAAGAAAAACAAAGAATTTTTTGCCATCAAATTTACCCTAAAAGTAGGTTTACAGTTCTAAACAGAAAGGAAATGATAAAAGGAGATTTGAAAAATCATGAAGGAAGAAAAACACAGTAATAAAAATATGATTAAGTATAGAACACTTTCCCTCTTCTCTTAAGTTTCCTAAATTATGTTTGACAGTTAAAGCAGAAATTATAAAACTGTATAATGTGTTTCTAAATGTATATTATAAATGGGAATCTAAAGGGAGGTTAAGGTTTCTATACTTCATGGAAACTGTAATATGTTTGACTGTGATAAACTATATACATAATATAATACCTATAGA